AAGAGAGGAGATTTGCGAAACTTGAGCTTCAGATCTCTCCAGCTCACAAGCAGTGGTGCCTGTTGTTGCGCGCTTGTTCCGTGTGTGAGTGAGTGTTCTTGCTACTCTCTCTCACGGGCTCACTTATCACAGTGCTAATAATATATGGATAAAATTCCAACGCACTATGTCGAACACCTCAAGACACTGTTTTTTATATTTTACTGGCATCAGTAAAACATATAAAGATCCCTCCAGACATTTTAAGGACGTACAGAATACTTCCTGCTGGAATAATTTTGTGTCGGTCTGGTTTATCCACCGGAAAAAGTTTAAACCGCATCCATCCATCCAATTCTTCTACAAATGAATATAACAACCAAATTAATTTAACCAGAGGATGATAATCCACGCACAAGAGTCAATAAAAACTGAAAATACTGAAAAACAATCAATGTTATTACATTTTTTTTCTTGTATAGCAGTGTTGAGCGGAGTGTTGAACCTGGCGCAGGCCTAGCTGCGTGTTTGTAGGGACTAAATGCTTTTGATGAATCTAATAAGAGACATAGTAAACTTCACCTGAGTCCATCGGCAGGTGAATCATCACACAGGCTGTGAATTCTGACACCATGCCCAGGACCCTCACAACGGGCATCAGAGCTGCTGAATGTGCAGGCTAACCGCTACTTTTTTGATGAACCGATGCAACAACATTTCAAACACATCTTTCACAAATTACATGTTATTAGCAGGAGAAAGCAGGAGGCTCATGTGGTGTCTAGTCAAAAGTAGAAATGACATGTAACGCGCATACTACGTCCTCCGTGTCCTTCCTCACAGTCTGATTTTGGTACGCAGAACACAATGTGTTTCATGACAGGCAGCAGCAAACACAGACAAAGTTATGTAAGAAAAAAAGAATCCATCATCCAGAGATGATAAGATTCAAACATCCTTTAAGTTTCTTACTAGTTGGTTGGTCTTTTTTCTCTATCTTTTTTATAAAATAGAAAAGAAGAAGGAAAAATCTTTTTTTGGTAGATGACTCTTTCATTTCCTAAGTTTTGTAGGTGTTTTGATATCTTCTTCACATAATCTTTCTGAAAAATCTTACTTAAAAAAATTCCACACAAGACAAATAAGCTCAGTGGTGTCGACGGTACACTTTTATCTACATACTTCTAGACGTCTGCCTTTGATAAACTTTTCCTAACAGTTCATAGATTTGTATTATGACAGACTACTTTGGGTAATTTCCCAATTGTTGCACTAAATAGATTTTTTAATGAAAGATACAATATTTTTACTGATGAGTAAAGTTAAAACAGAGTCTTAAACTTTCACGTGGACTTTCAGCACATCAAAACACCAATTTTACAGTAAGATGAATGATGCAGTTTGAGCTGCTTTCTGAATATTTTCTATTTAAGAAGCGGGTTTTATATTTTGCGGTTGTGATAAGGACGGAGGAGGAGGAGCTGTGTCAGGGTGAGACTGTAGGGCTTAAAGAAGGATTGAATCCTTGTGTGAACCCTTTGACCAACCTGCAGCAGCCTGGACTCTCTCCTGATGTTTGTCTGAGTGTAAATGTGAGTTCCTTTGTTCTTTAGACCTTGTAGTATTTTGCTTGAGATGTCATGTTAAAGTTAGAGTGTTAGTAGTTGTAACACATGGTTTATATTTTCTGTTTAGATGAAAACCAGCATCGATTCTTCTCATCCTCCATTGCCTCGACCAGCTGCCACCTGTTCATATGAACCTAAAACACTGGACTAAACCACAGCTGGTTTGGATTGGACTTCTTCTGTTGTCTCATTGTACCTGGAAATCTGCATACCTTCATACAGTCCTTAATATCGCCTCTTAACTTTTAGAAACAGTGAAACTTGCGATGGTAAGTCTGCGTAATTGCTATGTAATTTATATCAGTTATTTGTTAAACTATAGGATAAAGAACTGAGATCAAGTGCCTTAATTTGTAGCTGCGGTGTCTGCTTGGTGTATACTGCCTTTGTTAATAATGTTTTCAAAGTAAGAGAGCAACTGTAATGCTGTAAAAACCGAATGAGCCTGTTGTTCAGACGCTGAGCTGAGCTGTGTGGAAACAGACTTTAAGCAAAACAATGAACTTTAAAACCTGAGCAGAGTCCAGCACCAGATCCTCTTATCTCAACAAAGGAAAGTAAAACAAAGGCTCAAACTTCTTCAAACCTCTTCTGCATCTGTGTGTTGACTGTTTAAAACTGGACAGAAACAGCTACAGTAACCAGCAGAAATGTGCAGCTGTTAACCAGGTAACTCTTATCCACAGTAACCAGGTTACCTGATGGTCAGTGCAGTTTTTACATGATTTACTTTTTGTTTCCAGATGTTCTTCTCCTGTTTTGGACGTTAAAACTCGCCTCATCCCAGATCACAGTGAGATCTCAGTGTCTTCATAACCTGAAACCTGCCAACCTGCCGTTTAAGATGACTTCTAGAAGAAATCCTTTGACAGCTGCATCTTTGTTGGTAAAGTTGTTGATTCCTGAACTTTACAGGAAGCTTGTATCTGTTGGGCAGTGAAGTATACATCACATTGGTGTGTAGGGGGGTGTGGGCTGTAAATTAAATGTAAATGTATTGATTTTTAGGTATTTATATTATTAATCAAATATAGAGGTTAAATGATAAGAAATGCCAGTTTAACTGATGGACTTTAATTTAGAGTGTGGTCAATGATGGACAATAATGTAACAGAATTATTAAAATAGATCCAGTACAACTAAATATCCTCCTTTTTAGTCCCATAACATCAGTAGGTATCAGGTTATCAGGTTACAGAGTTATGTGTTATGTCTTCCCTAGAACAGGCCTTTTGAACATGAGTCCATCCTGCATTTTTGAGAAGGTCCAAAGTTCTTTACTCTTATAAATGTAAATAGAGGGAAAGATGGACACACATGTTAATTGGGGTTTTAATTGGTTTTAATTTTATAGTTAGTAACAAACATTTAAGTGATAAATGCACATGAACAAAGCCTCAATACATTGGGGTTTAAATAGTTTATGATAAAGAACAAACATCAGATATTTATGAATTGTCTTGTAACAATCTTACAGTGTATTATGGAGCATTTATTAACTGTTTGAACACACGTGCAACAGCTTTAAAACTGATTTCAATATATTTAAACTGACTGAAGATATATGATTATCAATATATCTGTTAAAACTTTGTCTCATTCTTCACAGATTCTTATGATCAGAGTCTTCAGAGGAAATACCCTGACATGTGATCCTGCAGAGTATCAGATAGGAAATAAATGCTGTCCTATGTGTCCACCTGGTAAGATCCAACTGAATGATTAAGGGACATTTCACTGTTAGTTACCTTTAGAGACTTTGTTGTGCTGCCAGGTGTCAACCATACTCACCAGAATCAACCACTTGTGTGTAGAACAGTGGAGTCAGTCTGTCTCCTGGGGTCGGTGTTGTTCATGTGAAAGTGAAACGTATCAGTGAAGAACTGGGCTGGATTTAGTTTTTAGTGTCACTTTAACAAATTTTACCCCCAAGATTAACACATTTTCATTCAATAGAAAAATATTGCATGAAATTAAATTGTTGGTTTTCTTTTCAACAGGAAATAGAGTTAGAACAGACTGCACAGAGTTCAGGAGAACTTCCTGTCTGCCCTGCTTAGAAGGAACCTTCATGAATCAACCCACTGGACTTAAACAATGTTATCGCTGCACAAACTGTGATGAAGGTAGATTTCTGTTGCTATCTTCTTGTTATTAGTAGAAACTTGTGACTAAACCTGATTTAAAATCAGTAATTAGTAATATTACTGCAAATACCACAATGTGAAGAGACAACTGTTTAAAGACAGCGTCACTGTGAAGATGCAGAAATTTTGATTAATTTTTAAGTAATTTAAGAGCCACGTCTCCAATGATGGCCAAGGGCATGGTTATAATAAAATATATGCTATCAATTCATTCAGTAAAAACAAAACTACAATAAGATAATAAATCAGTATTCTACAGCAGTAGTCAACAATGCAGCAGCTTAGAGGTGCATTATGTAGCAAGGAGTGAGTACAGTACAGAGAAGTAGCAAAGTAGTAAAGAATAATGAAAAGTGTCTGTCAGAGTAAATACTG